TTAATAGTTTTAGATATTTATTCATAACATAAACAGCGCTAGCATTTCTGTCGATTTTATTTCAGCTTAACCGGCCGCTATCCGGAAGAAAACATGCACCGTACTGACTGCTAGGGCAGTTATTTTCTGCTTTGAATACTTCCCACTGGCAATAATGATTCCGTAACGTACCCCTTGCGCTATCTTTTGACCATTTGGCAACTATTCGCTTCGTAGCTGACACGGTACAACACTTTTCTTTGGCTTACTTCACACGGCCAGTCATTTTGTTTACAAAGAAATGGTGTGCTATGCGCATGCGCTAGTAGAGGGAAATCCCTGAACAAAACGTTGGTCAGACAGGTAGAAATACCGATGATTATCTTAGATTTAATCATTTTTATGAATCTATTTCAGCCAAATCCGATCGGCATTTTCCATAAGGAGTCTCACTTGATATGTTTATGTAGTATTTGGAAAAAAGACAAAAAAAAAAGTTACTTCAGCGTGATGCCCCTTTAAATGAATGACCTAGACATTTATTCAAGGTCACAGAGATCAAATATGTTCAAAATCTTTCAAACGACTTCTGAATAACCAAAAGTCGCAGGATGATGATATTTGGGATTAAAGGCTACCAAGTTTGTTCAAGTGAATGACTTTGATTATATTCAAGGTCACAGGGGTCCAATTTGTTTAAAATCTTTAAACGATATCTTCCAAATAACCGTGAGGCCCAGAATGTTGATTTTTAGCTAGTAGCATGCTTGGATAAAGGGCTATCAAGCTTTTTTATTTGAATGACCTTGACCCTTTTTTNAAAAAGACAAAAAAAAAAGTTACTTCAGCGTGATGCCCCTTTAAATGAATGACCTAGACATTTATTCAAGGTCACAGAGATCAAATATGTTCAAAATCTTTCAAACGACTTCTGAATAACCAAAAGTCGCAGGATGATGATATTTGGGATTAAAGGCTACCAAGTTTGTTCAAGTGAATGACTTTGATTATATTCAAGGTCACAGGGGTCCAATTTGTTTAAAATCTTTAAACGATATCTTCCAAATAACCGTGAGGCCCAGAATGTTGATTTTTAGCTAGTAGCATGCTTGGATAAAGGGCTATCAAGCTTTTTTATTTGAATGACCTTGACCCTTTTTTGAGGTCACATTTAGTCAAATATGTTTAAACATTTAAATGACCTAATTTCAATAAACAAAAGGATAGGGTGGTGATATTTTGCAAGTTGCATCCTGAGATGAAGGGCTATACAATTTGTTCAACATAATGACCTTGTTCGACTTTCAAGGTCACAGGGGTGGAATGTTTTTAAGTCTTNTCTTCTGTACCATTGGAGAGATTTTATCCAAATTTGGCCTGGAGCAGCTTTGGGCAAAGGGGACTAAGTTTTGTATAAACGGAGGGTGATACATTGCTGTTGGTGATGATCTTTTTCATCATTGTTTTGATGTGAGCATCTTATTTGAAAAAAAACCCACAAGTATATTGCACATGTATTCAAGATTGGAAAGTAACCTGGGAATGGATACCTGGCTTTAGCTGATGTTTGTTGCCTTTTGTTGTGAGGATGGAAGTATTCTTGAGTTTCTCAATGTTTCAGAAACATTGGACTTGAGGATGAGGGAAGGTACCTGTGTCTGGCTGGCAATGAAGGTGGATTCACTGAGGCACTTGTACATGTCCGAGTTCAAGGTAAATCACATTCATTACTAATCTTCAGTGTAACCTATATTTGTATGTATTTAATACATGAAGTGACAATTCCTGAATGAAATTTTTATTCATGAAAAAAATACTGAACAAACAAATGTATTTGTTACTTTTAGTCAAATATTTTGTCCATGAAACACTCATAATTTCCAAGTCTCTTAAATTCTTTCTTTTCCCCTTAAACCTTATTATTTTATTTTGTTTTCAGTACCACCTAAGACTGTGGTGACTCCTTCTGTTAAGACCTTTAAGACGGGGCAGACGGTGAACCTGACCTGTACTGCGGAGGGTTTTCCTGTCCCCAGTTTTTACTGGCTTCGTGACAACAAGCTTATGATTCCAAATGAAAGGATTCAGATTAATGGTCCACATATCAGCTTCGCCAATATGTTCCTAGGTGATCAGGGCCAGTACCAGTGTTTGGCCGAAAATTTGGCAGGAGAGGATAATGTAACAGCCATTCTTACATATATAGGTAAGGGGAGAGTACTGTACATAGCCATAGATGCTACTTTCTTTTATCAGTTTCCAAACAATTTTGCGGGTAACAGATGGAATGGAGGTGTTTTTTTATGATTATAGGGACAGACCAAGTGGTTTGATGCTGTTTTCTGACAAGCCCTTTTAAAAGCCTTACAGGGCCTGCATTACTTAGCTTTACCATCAAAATGTTAATTCAAAAGTAGAAAACAGTTTTTTTCATATCTTAATATATATCCAGTATATGGTTACTCTCTGACATGCATTTATGAGCTTGAAACACTGAAAAATGAGCAGTAAGAATAGTTTTGGCGCTGCAATTAGGTCACTGTGATCTTCACCTCAGGGTCAAAGGTCAAGTTAATGCAAAATTTATAGTGAAATGTTGTTTGGACCATTTCTAAACTGTAAAAGATACTTTAATAAAATGTGAAGTGTGTCTGCATTACCAACACAATGTGTGCTATGCACTATATTTAGGTTATCATGGCCTTCACTTCTAGTTTAGTTTCAATGGGACCATGTGAGTACCTTGATTGAGCAGTGAGAAAAATTGTTAATTTCCATGGTGTTTCTTGATTGAGCAGCGAGATTAATTTTGCATGGAGCTATTTTATCGAGCAGTTTATACGTAAATAGTTACATTATGTATGGTTTATGTTCATTCCTGTGACAGAGGCACCGCAGATATACCGATCTGATGAACTTGTGTTGGTTGCTAGTGGTGACAATGCAGTCTTAGTGTGTGCAGCCAATGGTATACCCAGTCCCACAATCACATGGTTCAGAGGAGATGTCCAGGTGTGTTCTTATGTTTCATGTTTCTGAAATGTCCTTGGATAGAAAATCCAAATTTATTTAGCTTTGGGCATTTGGGTTAACTAGGGACATGTGAACAGTAGGTGAGAGATCATTAAAGAGAGATGGACTATTATTAACCATATTATATATATAGATGATTTGAAAATAAGAACAAATGCTCCTTTTTAGCATGCAATACTGGAGCTGTAATGTTCCCAAATGACAGTAAAATCAACCATGTTTAAACCAATGCTCCACAGTACATTAACAAAATCCTTATGCATGACATATATATCTGGAGGGTAAGTTGATATAGATACTAAACTGACAAAGTTGTTTTCCAGAATGTCAATCTTGATTATACTTTTCTACTATATCAAACTTGCTGCCCAGAAGTTAGAAATTAGAAATTAAATCTGAATAAAGTTAGATTGTCATGTTCGAAAGAAGAACTTACAGATGGCTTTGTTATCAGATAAGACACATACACCTTTAGTCACTGTTACAACATACAGGTTTCATTTGGCAGAATTTGTTCTTTGTTACAGCTACGACAGCTGTCCTACGTGAACATCACGACTGATGGCGTATTGATGATCCTTGGCACACAGGAGCAAGATGGTGGCGATTACCGTTGTGTGGCCACCAATGAGGCAGGCACAGATTCTGCTGATGTTACACTCGAAGTTGGATGTAAGTAGGCAATGTTTTGGGAGTTAGGTCAATAGGTCATTATGAACATGCAAAATCTTAAATTCTTCAAAAACCTGACAATTGCTATTGAAATTGTCACCTAATTCAGTTGTTTTTTTCATGTGCATGAGATGCAGCCCTCAAAATTTCATACAAAAACTATCAGAGTCCATCAATAAATCATCAAAATATTTAAACAAATATGTATTCCATATTCTTCTGCAGCAGGAAATTTTGATGCAGCTTGAAATTTGCACTTATCCGTACTGCTACAAAAACAGCCTGACGAGAGTCTGGGGAAATCTTTCTCAAATTAAATTCAATGGTTACACAAGGGTAGTGTATTAATCATCATAGAATAAATATATTTAGGGAAGATAATACATTGGATGGTGCTCTTGCCTTTTAACAAGAGGGCCGGGGTTTGACCCCACTATCGGACGTGAAAAAGTATGGGTCACCTGACAGACCACATGAGTTTCCTCCAACGTTCAGACCCTACATGCACATCCAAATGGGCCTACAAGAGTGATAAATATAAGTTGTGAAATAATTCAATTTTATATACATTGTTACATATTTATCATCACAGAATTAATATATGGATGTAAATCAAGATTAAATGATAATCTGTTGATGGATTTAAGAACAGTAAAATATGTTGTATCTATTTGGATCAGTGTATATACACTCTCTATCGATAGGCAAAATGTCCCGCGTTGATTGACATGAAATATACAATTTCGTCTCATCGTTATACAGGTAAACAATACAAATAACTCACTCAGTCATAGCACAAAGTCAGTCTTGAAACGTTGCGACATGCTTGGTATGTACATTGTTTGTGTATAGAGTAAAACTTTGTTATAACACAATTCCAAACTGATGAATCTTATTGTAGAAAAACCATGTTGTGTTGTAGCTGAGCCCCGTATCACCACCCAGCCCTCTAATCTTGGAGCAGACATAGGGACCAATGTCACCATAAGCTGTGAGGCTACTGGAAACCCTCCCCCAAAGATCTACTGGAGGAATGAGGATGGCACCATTATTGCATATGGGGGAAGATTTATTCAGCTCCCAGAAGGCTCTCTGTTTGTCAGAAGTAAGGTTTACAGTGTATTAGGGATTGAAATGGAATGTACTGTATACCAAAACTTTCACCCTGTCAAATATTTCCCCTTCGCTGATAAAACCTGATTTCTCTCTAAGTGTTAATTTGCCATACACATGTGGTTACTATATACTGTATATTGTGCACTAATGAATATTCGCTATCTTGATAAATTAGCCCTCATTGTGGAGGACGAAAGAGACGATATTAAAACTGTGGCGAAAATTTCCCGGTGTATAGTATCTAATGTTAATTCTCCTCAACAATTTGTATTAGGAACAGCGCTATTTTTCAGCCACTCCCAGACATAAATCCCACATACCAGATAAATAAAACATACTGATTGTAAGGCCAGTGAAACATACTGATTTAATATTTTCAAACTGAATATCAAAGTATCAAGTACAACTTTGATTTTATATCAGATGGTAGTTAACAGGTTTTTGTTGCAATATACATTGTGTCTGAAAATCACAGGATGATATTCTAGTTCTGTTTCAAAAGACATATGGAACTTGCACAGTTCAACAGTTTTAGTAAGTCCATGCCTATCTAGGTTCTTTACAGTCAATTTTTATCCTTTAACTAAGGATTAATCATGTACATCAAACTAAAAGACAAATATTGTCTATAGGGAACTATAATAAACATATTTGACCTTCTGTCATTATCTATAATCATGTTGTATTACACTTGTGATTTCTCTGTCCACAGATTTGAAGATTGGTGATGAGGGACGGTATACATGTGTGGTCCAGAACCAGTTTGGTATGAGGGACATGTCTGCTTATCTTAGTGTCACAGGAATAGGTATGTTACCATAGAAACTCCTTTAAATGTGTTTATATTTCATGAATCGGCAAACTAGAGGAATACCTTTAATATTTGAATTTTGAAAAGCTGATATAAATCAAAATTTTAAAATTTGTTCTGTCGGTCAAAATGTTGATACCTTAAAATTTACTTTGTAGAACTGCTTTCAATGATCTTTTCTCCAAGCAATATCTGTATTAAATATTGAGATTCATTTATAAGGTTTGATTTTGCATATGTATTTTTCTTATTTATATACAATGATACCAAATTGGTTTAGTGTTTATGTGATTTCATGATTTTAAGTCTGGTCTGTACGTTGACTTTACTGGGAAATTTAATTTCAAGTTCATATACATGTAGAAACTTACTGTGAAGTCCTTCAGCTGATATTGCTACCTAAATAACGCAATATACCAACCATCAATAATGTTTTGGGCAAATTTTAAGGAACTGTTAACAATTTAGCCTTCATACGGAAGTGGAGCACAGTTCCACTGCAAAACATCATAGTTATGCTGTTCGCAGTGCAGCATTTATGTGGTCATCGTCAACTTTTTTCATTAAGATACTTCTTCTCAAGCATTGCTGAAGGTATACTGGTCAAATTTGGCTTGTTAATGTTCTAAATTAATTGGCAGAGATAAGCTGCACACTCACCCACAGCCTTTTAAACTTCCAGCATCATCTTTACTGGTCCAAGGTCAAGGTCACTTTAACTGAAAATCAAAATGTATAGGAAATGCCTTCTAATCACTCAAGCAGCTGCATTTATAAACAGAATTTCATGAAACTTTGCATGTAGGTTGCCTTAGACATATCTTGTGGACGTTAAAATTTGTTTAGAGTCTGTCGATGGTATGGTATATTTAGCTCACCAAATTGGGCCAAGTGAGCTTATGCCGTGGTGCGTCGTCCTTCGTCCGTCTGTCTTCCGTCCGTCCAGCGTCAATATTTTACTTTAAACAACATATTCTCAATAACCAAAAGGCCCAGTATGTTGATATTTGGCCAGTAGCATGCTAGGAGGAAGGGCTACCAAGTTTGTTCAAATTAATGACCTAGACATTTATTCAAGGTCACAGAGATCTGGGATAAAGGGCTACCAAGTTCGTTAAAATAAATCACCTTCACTCATATTCAAGGTCACAGGGGTCAAATATATTAAAAACTTTAAACGGTTTCTTCTCAATAACCAAAAGGCCCAGGATGTTGATATTTGGCCAGTAGTATGCTAGGAGGAAGCGCTACCAAGTTTCAACTGTTTGTTTAAAGGGACATCACGTGAAAAGGCGTTTTTTTTTTAATGAATGTATGTATTGTAGGCACTTCCATGTCCAGTTTGACCACTTGAATTGTTCGGGAAAGCCCGGCTAAAAATAGCGCCGATAACGTCACCTGATTAGGCAGCAAACACAAGTGGTGCGAGCGAGATGAAACGGTTTACAAAGGGGCCCTCAGAGAGGGGCCGTCAGGCAACTGCAACTTCTTACCGCACTATGAAACCAAGTTATATGATTTCTAATTCCGTATTCAAACTTATTGAACAGTAATTATTCATCATCAGAAGTTAATTGCACACTTGCCAATATTAAGAATTTAAATTTATT